AGTGCATTGAAACAGATGAGGGGGAGAACTGCTTAAAAGAGATATATTACTAGGTATTATTGTCATGACAGGAGTCCAAAACGAAGGCTGCATAGTGGAGTGGACCTGGGGGGGTAGGGATTATATAACAATGAAAGAATTTTTCTTTCACTTTTCAAAGAGAAGAGTGAATTGGGGGAGGGATGGGCAGGGAGGAAAGTGCAACAATGAATGGAAATCCAAAGTCTCTGTAAACTTGCTTTAAAATTAATAAAATTTGGAGGGGTGGAGGGAAAAGCAAGCCAGGAGGTTGTGCGGCCGCTTCTAGTAGTTTCCAGGCGCTGCCGGGCGGCTGGGACCAGGCGGTCCTGAGGCTGTGGCTGCTCGAGAGTCTGTGGTGGCGCGATCAGGGAACCGATGGCCAAGTGGGGTGAAGGCGACCCACGCTGGATCGTGGAGGAGCGGGCGAACGTCAACAACTGGCATTGGACCGAAAGGGATGCTTCAAATTGGTCCACAGATAAGCTGAAAACCCTTGGCAGTGTGCGTGCAAAATGAGGAAGGCAAGTGCGAAGTGACAGAAGTGAGTAAGCTTGATGGAGAAACATCCATCAATAACCGAAAAGGCAAGCTTATCTTCTTTTATGAATGGAGCATCAAGCTAAACTGGACAGGTACCTCTAAGTCAGGAGTGCAGTACAAGGGACATGTGGAGATTAGATCCCCAACTTGTCTGATGAAAACAGTGTGGATGAAGTGGAGATTAGTGTGAGCCTTGCCAAAGATGAGCCTGACACAAATCTCGTGGCCTTAATGAAAGAAGAAGGGGTGAAACTTCTAAGAGAAGCAGTGGGAATTTACATCAGCACCCTCAAAACAGAATTCACTCAGGGCATGATCTTGCCCACAATGAATGGAGAAACAGTAGATGCCACCAGGCAGCCGGCACTGAAAGCTGAGGAGCGGAAGGCTAGTAAGTCCGCTGCTTCAAAAACCCAGACCAAGCCTGTTGGTGTCAGAATCCCCACCTGTAAGACTGCTCTTAAGGAAACCTTCCTCACATCACCGGAGGAGCTCGATAGAGTGTTTACCACACAGGAGCTGGTCCAGGCCTTCACCCATGCACCTGCAATGTTAGAAGCAGACAAAGGTGGGAAGTTCCACATGGTTGATGGCAATGTTACTGGGGAGTTCACTGACCTGGTCCAGGAGAAACACATTGCAATGAAGTGGAGGTTTAAATCTTGGCCAGAGGGGCACTTCGCCACCATCACCTTGTCTTTCACTGATAAGAACGGAGAGACTGAGCTGTGCATGGAAGGGCGTGGCATCCCAGCTCCTGAGGAAGAGCGGATGCGGCAGGGCTGGCAGCGGTACTACTTTGAGGGCATCAAACAGACCTTTGGCTATGGCACACGCTTGTTTTAGGGTCTGCAGCTAGGAGGCTGCATGCAGCCTGCTTGATACTTCGGTCCAGCCCTCTGCTGACTGGGGTTTGTGACTGACAGGATTTCACCATCCCAACCACTAACTAACCTGGGGCCGGGGCCCCTCCCCTCCACATATCCCTTGGGTTTGTGCATGGTTTTTGCTGGGTGGGATCAGAGGGCAACTTCTCTTTTATGTATACATACGCTAAATAAACTTAATTTTTTAAAAAAATTAATAAAATTTAAAAAATCTTTTTAAAAAAAAGCTGAGGAGAGCTCAATGGCATCGAGGTCTTGAAGAGAAGCTGTCCTGATGAAAGAATTGTATCCTGAGGTGTTACTATTCTCTTCAAATTGGTCCTAATACTGAATTATAATCACTTCACAAATAGGAAGCCCTGGTTGCACAGTCTGCAAAGAGCTGTGCTGCTAACCCAAAGGTTGCATATCTCAGTTCAAATCTACCAACAGCTCCTTAGAAAAACAATGAGCAGTCTTCTCCCTTTGCTCCAATTATAGTGTACAACGTCAAAAAAACCAGTGCATGGCTCCTGTGAGTGGGAACTAATTCAACAGCAGTTGAGTGGCCAACCTCCCTAATAAATTCCTTAACTGTGAGTATAGTCTATGTGGCCATTGCTACAAATTATCAAATCCAACAGAGAAGTTGAGCTCACTGTGGGACTATTCCTGTCAGAAGTAGTAAAAAAGCTGGACAGTGAAGATACATCTGACCTCTACCTCATAGGTCTCAACCTTGGGGCGCCACAGGTAGTCTCTTTCTAAAGAGGATGAGAAGATCTAATGCTGTCATTTTAAGGCCTCTATGAGGTAATTTAAGGCAGTTCCCAATTAAAAATATAAATACAGAATGGATTTTGAAAAACCAGGTATAAGGAAATGTTACAGGAAAAATTTAGGTGATAGGTATACCAGTATTCGTTATCAGATTCTCTTTGCTGTCCTGTATGTTTAGGAAGTGTTAGTGGCTTAGGGGTAAGGAGTTGCCCTGCCAACCCGAAGGCAGGTGGTTTGAATCTACCAGCTGCTCTGCAGGAAAAAGACAATTTCCTCCCATGTGATTTACTGCTTCTGAAACCCAGTGGAGGGTCAGTTATGGGTTGGTTCCCACTCTACCCTCCCTACTTAATACAACATCCTGTGAGTTTAAAATGCTTCAAATAAAAATTTTTGGGGAGGGGGTGGGTATTGAGAGATACAAATAAAAATGTCAACAAAAAATGTTGAAACCCATTAAATAGGTTGCTAAGCCCTAAAATAATAACACACAACTTCATCATAAGGTAATGGAGAAAGCAAAACAGTCACTTTAAACTGAAGGATATTTTTCCTAGTACTAAATCCTACGATTTTGCTACTTGTATCTTTATATGAACTAATGAACACAAGGAGTCCTGCTGGTCTAGTGAGTAAGGAGCTGTACCACCCACCCACAGGTGGATGGTTTGAATCTACCAACAGTTCTGCAAAAGAATGACAGATTTCCTCCTAGGCAATTCACAGCCTCTCAAAACCCACTAGAGGGTCAGCTATGAGTCACTTCTGACTTAGTGGAAGAAGGCTAAAAATTCTAAATGCATTATCTTATTTAATCTGCACAATAATCCTGTGTAGTAGATTGCCACAGTAAGGGCCTTCAGAGAATTTCGTCTTCTTCAGTTCTTGCAATCTTTTGCAAAGTAGCTTTGCTGCTCCTCCTGGATAGAGATGTCATTTCTCCTCTTTTTCAATCTGGCTTCAATTCTGTGGCTTCCTTTAATGGCTACTGGAGAACAGTTGTTTTAAAACAAGGCTAGCCTTGAGAGATCTTGGCAGTTTTCACTCACTCTCTTAGAATGCTCCTATAGCCATACAACATGTGGAAGATGAGTGGTGAGGACACACAAACTAACCTACCCACTGGCCAGATAACAATCCATTTTAGATTCTCCATTCCCAGCTGAGCTGCCAACTTGTGCATAAGTCAATCCAGAGGAGACCAGAATAGCTCATTCAAATAAAAAAATCCTGAGAAATAATAATTGCTTTACAACCAGTATGTTTTTGGTTTGTTACAAAGCTATCAAATACATAAAGTACCCTATAAGTACTGTTGTTAATGCCATTTCAGAGCTCTGGAAATAAATGCATAATTCATAAATTCTACATTATCTTTGAAAAGCAGTATCTTTTTCGATAACAAGTGCCCTTATTTTTCTTTAACAAGATAAAAAGCAAAGCAAGTTATGTGAAAAATAAAAGCCAGTTTCACTTTTATCAAATTTATTAAAATTGCATACATGCAAAATGGGATGAGCCATGAAGACACATTCATTTCCAAGCCAGAGCAAATCAGTATGTATGTACTGACTGCTTAAAAATAGTAACAATTAAAAAAAAATAATAACAACAATAACAATTTATGGCGCTTTCAATCCCTTGGGTACCATTCTGAGTGATACACACAACACATCATTTTAGCCTCCAACCCTGAGACAACTCTATCTCCATCTTCCTTATGGAAAAACTGGGGTGCAACTTACATGAACCCAAGATACATTGCTAAATTGACACCTGAGAAAAAAACAGTATGGTCTAAGTGGAAAAACAATTAAGCTTTTGATATTCAGGTTTCAGTGTCTATCATTAACATAGAGCAAAAATCTCAGCTGTCAAAATGTAACTAACTACTAGGATCAGCGTGAGAAGCAGTTTACCAGAAACACATGTTTATTACAAAAGAACAGGCTTGTGCAATCTACGACGGGGAAACATCACCAAGACGTACACACAACTACAGTTTAACAAACGATTACAGGACAGTGATGGGCAAACACCTGTCACAGGTTTTAAATTTTAACTTGAAAGTAGACCAAAGTCGGCTTCACGAATTGTGACAGACCAGATACCTGCAAATAATCGGGTGCCCTACGCTACATATGCTGCCCCACATTATATGAACGCACGCCACCTTTACGAGAGAAATCTCTCCCTTCTTCAGAGCTGGTGTGGGAGAAAGTACCAAGAACACAAAAACCTACAAACGTTCCAAGTGGTTCTGGACAAGACAGCAGCAGACCTCACCAACCTTAGCGAACCTGGCAAAATCACCTCCCCAGAAAACTCTTCAGCAGGGTCCCAAAATATTAATTTCCCCTGGTGTTTGTTTTTGGTTGTTTGGGGGGTTTTTGGTTTGGTTTCGTGGTGTGTTTTTTTTTAAGGTGAAGGTGTCCAGGGAAGCCAGTACTAGGTGCGAGAGGCGGGTGAACAGAGAGGCTAAGAGGGCCTTGGAAGTAGCAGTTCCGCACACCGTGCTTCATCGATCTCGGGGGGTTTGTAAGGATACGACCAAAGGCTGAACGAGCGGACAGTCATCCCAGGATTACAGCCCCACGCACTCCTGCACAAGGTCCCCTCCATCTTTCCGCGCGGCTCCCAACATTTGCCTCTCCAACCCACCTCAGGCCCGCCCCCTTGATCTTCAGGCCTGCTCCTAGCCTCACACTCCAGAACTGCCGTCAGCCCAAAGGGAACGGGTCTTGTGGCTTCTCTCCCCACCTCTCTACTCCCGTGACCCTGAGAAGCACTCACTTGCCCGCCAGATCTTTATGAGAGCCGCTCGAATTCATGAGCTGAGCCAAATCCTGTCGCACCGCTGCCGCCATCTTTCCTCCAGCTCAGCCCCGGCTGCGGGGCCTCACGCCGCCAAAAAGAAAACGAGTATGGTCCTCCAGAGTGCAGCCAGAGGGAACCTGAGATGCCACCGAGTAGCGCAGTAGTTGGCCAGAGCGTCCGAAGTGAATTGGTCTATGAGCCTGCGCTAGCTCCGCCCCCAAGGTTGAGTGGCACGAAACTCCCCGCCTCACCTGGCACAGCTACCCCTGCAGACGCAACTTGCGTGCTATCCGACTTCGGATTGGCTGATTAACTCCAAGGGCGTGTATTAGCGTGTGCTGTTCATCAAGTGCTTGGTTCGCAAAGTTCTATGTCTGATGTCTGATTTACGGTGGCCTTCTTCCAGGCAGTGCTCTGAAACTTATGGAAAAGAAAAAGTTGTTTTCATTTCCAATTTATTGTAGATTGTATTTGCTTATGTAAAATGAAATAAAACTTGTTGCCAGTCTTCTCTCCCTTTATATCCTTTATATAGTATATATCCGCTTGTTCAAAGAAATACTATTTTACATTCGGTGTTCTGAAATAATCATTAGCAGCCGTTTTCACTTTAAAGGAAGTCCCTAGGGAGCTCTGGTGGCCTAGTGGCAAGAAGCTGCACTGCAATCCCAGAAGTATGCTGTTTGAATCCACCAGATGCTCTGCTGGAGGAGGGACAATCTCCTCCTGTTCCAGTCAGATCCAATTT